AATTTCATTACACTAAGTGAAGCTGTGTCAGGATTTGAACTGCTGGTTGGGAAGCATGTTGTAGGGTGATGGTTGAAATGACTCAGGAGCCATATCATCTGGATTTGAATCCCGGTTTTGTCACATATAAGCTTGTGACCTTGGCCTAACATTGTATTTTCTCTGAGCCTCAGTGGAAAATGAGGATAAAAATACCTACCTCATTGGGCTGTTGTGAGGATTACTTAAATTAAAACAGTACCTGGCATAGTGTAAATATTCAATAGTTCTAGCTGTTCCTGTGATTATTGACACAGACTGAATTAAATTTTATCTTTTCAGCATTAAAGAGGAACAAAATGACCTAAAACGTTTGCTCAACTGACACTAAAACAAAATACAGTGGGAGAAGGTGTTTAAGCCACTTAATTTTAAGACATAAATCATTTTCTATAATTGAAGTAATTTTACTCATTAAAGCAGATGAGATATATCTTTAACAGGAAATATAATTGTAGGCATAGTTTTAAGTATTTTTCTAGTAAGAATCAATGACATTATTCTAAAGCATGTAAATGATTCCAATAGGCCTTTCCTTCTAGTTCCCTAAGCAAGGCCTGGGGTTTCATTCTATTTGTACCAACTGCATAAGGAAATATAATTGTAGGCATAGTTTTAAGTATTTTTCTAGTAAGAATCAATGACATTATTTTAAAGCATGTAAATGATTCCAATAGGCCTTTCCTTCTAGTTCCCTAAGCAAGGCCTGGGGTTTCAATCTATTTGTACCAACTGCACCTTAAAGGCTCGGGTCCTAGAATTTTAATGAGATTTGAACCTGTTAGCCGGGAAGTGAAGTGAAATCATGAAAAAATGTCTCCCTCAATAAAGAAGGAAAGGGAAAGAGCTGTCAGTTACTGAATACAGGATTTTATTTAACCCTCACAATCAGCCACTGAAGTGGCCCTAGGGACCTTCTGACGTGTTCTGAGGTACATTCCAGAATGACACTCATAATAGGTTACTAACAAAAGCCAGAAAAGAACACAAGGGATAAACCAGGAGCCTACTACTGTCCATTATGTTCGCATATATCAGGAAGAAATTGGATACTAAAAGGGTTAAGTCTCCAGATATATGAAATTCTGCTACAGGATTAGTTACATGGATATGGAATCATGGACAATCTGTTCCTCGGCCTTACTTAGATAACTCCCCTCTTCCTTGCTATAACCCAAATATCATAAGCTAAAAAAGCCAGAACAGTGGATTTTAGACACCTCTTGGGCTGATCCCTATCCCATAGACTAATCCATTATCTACACTGCAACCAGAGTCGTCAACAAATCTGAGCACATTACTTAATGGCTTTCTGCTAAATAATGAATTAACACCCAAATCTTAAGGGACTTACAAAACTATATAACACCTATCCTGCCTACCTTTCCAACATTATTCTAGGTCTTTATTCGTCTCACTCCACACTGCAACCACTTCCTGGAATCCCTGAATGTGTCAAGTCCCCACAGCCCCAGGACCATAAGACCAGCTTCTTCCTGTTTTAAATGGCCCCAGCTCAGTGCTCACCCTTTTCTGCTTACACAATTAATTCATCCTCATACTTAAATCTCAGTTTAAATATCACTTCTTTAAGGAAGCCCTTCCTGATCACACCTCTATTCCCAGACTTGGTTAGATCTCCCATTATAGTAATGCATAACTCCTAATCCTTCTTCACAGCATTTACTGCAATTTAGTTAAGTAAATAATGATCTGATTGTTTGTTTCTGTCTGCCTCCCTTACTATTATAATGTAAGTTCCACAAAGACCAGAACCAGGTCGATCTTGCTTAATGGCTGAAGCCAGTAAATTGTGCACAGTAGTGTCTTCACATATCTCAGTTTTACTAACAAATGACGAATATTACTTGTCCACGATTAAGTGTGACCTTGGGCCCAGTTGCACCCAGCTTAATGTCTCCACATCTTAGGCTTTTTAGACACCATTCTGTACCGTCCTAATTCTCAATCTAAACATTACCTTAAAGCACAGTGTGCAAAATGGCAATCTGTAGGCTATATCCAGCCTGCCAATATGTTCTATTTAGCTCACACAGGTGAAAAATAACTGGGAAATTTAATCTCAAAAATACGTATATTCACCTTCCTTAAGGGAAGAAAAATAAACCAGGCATCACAGTTCCCATATCCCCACATGAAAACAATTGTCTAGATTGAGTAATGGACGCCTCCTATGAATAACGTTGCTCTCTCCTGTCTCCCTTCCTGTTTTGCTCAAGATGATTGCTTGACCCTCAGAGGCATTAGAGTTTGTTACCCTTCCTTATCAGAAAGAAATAAGACAAAAATTGTGCAATGACTGATGGCTACAGAACCGTCTAAAATATGGGTTTTCCTATACCTAATCGTACAGTGGAAGAAATTCTTGGCTTATATCTCTAAAATGATACAGCTTTCATTCCAGATGCCATTTATTTCTCCTTATTATTTGCAGGGAATTTTGTCAATTTTATTGATCATCAGCATAGCGGAACTCAGCATCTCTGTGACTGTTGCATCCTTTAGAAGCAAGTGCTGGACAAGCTCAGATGAGGTGCATTCAATGTTGTTATGACAATGAATTCCTATTTGGACACTTTAAAGTGACTTCTGGTCTGTTAGTGGGCAAAGCAGTATGCCCAGATGCTGAACTAAAATCTCTAAATTTAGGAAGGTCATGGAAGGACAAGCTTCAGCTCACCCCACCCTTTGAGACAAGTATGCTTTCCTTTCTTGTCCAATCTGCTATCCTCAGTCATCTCTGTTCAGACATAGCTCTTTATCTTCCTACCAAAATATATGAAATATAAAATTTAATGAGAACCTGTATGACTGTGACATGAGGAGCTTATTCCTGGATCATAAGGGTGTGTGGGACGATTCCCTTACCAGAGAGGAAGTAGAGAAAAAAATATTAACAGTGATACTAAATATCATTTATATATAATCGTTAGGATTTACATTTACTAAATGCATACTATGTCAGTCATTATAATCACTGAGTACCAACTTACTCAATTTTAACAACTGTTATAACATCCTTATTTACATATAGAGGAATTAAGGACAAAGGGTTAAATAACCTCTCTAGGGGCCGGCCCGGTGGTGCACTGGAGAGTGCGCCGCTTGAGAGTGCGGCCCCGCTCCCGCCGAGGGTTCACATCCCATGTGGAGACCGGTTCCCACTCACTGGCTGAGCGCGGTGCAGATGCAACACCGAGGGTTGCGATCCCGTTGCCGGTCCCCGGTACGGGCGCGACACCGAGAAATCCCGTTACCGGTCAGTAAAAAAATAAATAAATAAATAAATAAATAAATAAATAAATAAATAAATAACCTCTCAAGTATCGCATAACATCAGGATTCTAACTCAAGCAGGATTCTAACTCCAGAGCCTGCTCCCTAAGACCCA